GGTACCTGTAGCAGGAAGGTTTGTTCCTTTTGGAATGAATGCCCACTGTGTGCAGGTCCCCATGCATTCTCAGGCTGCCCCAAAGCAAGGGCTTGTCCGGGAGCGGGTGTGTGTGTGTGGAAGAAACGCGCGGCAGGTGGAGCGGGCCACAACACTGCTACTGACAAAGGGCCCCAGTCCAATTAGAGTGGAGGTGTTAGCGCACATGTTATGAGATTACCCCAAATTATGGGATGGCGGTTACCTGTTAGAAGGGTTTGCATTGGTTTTAAGATACCTTACCAGGGTGACAGGAGGCCATATTGGGCTCCTACTCTGAGGTCTATTAAAGGACTGGAGGAAGTGACCCATTGGGAGGCGGCAGCAGCATTTGAAGAAAACTCCTGCTTTTAATTAAGGATTTTCTAAGTTTTACAACATTTTATCTGTTTTTTTTAAAAGTCAGCCAGACATAAGATCTTCCTGCAGAACTCCCAGACTGCTGGTCTTCAACAAACTGACTGGAGAAAGTAGTGCATCAAAAAATCACTAAGGAATGTAAAGAAGGGAGAGTTTTAGGTCCATTCTCTTCACCTCCAGTACCCAATTTAAGAGTGTCCCCATTGGGAGTGGTACCTAAGAAAGCCATAGGAGAGTACCAACTCATCCACCATTTATCCTACCCTCAGGGTGGCTCGGTGAATGACGCGATACATGAAGAACTATGTTCAGTTAGGTACACTTCCTTTGATCAGGCTATGCAGGTTGTGCAAAGTTGTGGATGTGGGGCTGTTGGTCACTGGATAGTTTTATGTGGTTTTTATGTCTCTGGGCTTGTTTTAATGGCTAATGATTTTCATTTTGATAATTTATTATTATAACTGTAAACTGCCTAGAGCAGAACTCTGAAGGGGTGGCCAGAAGGTCCTAAATAAATAGAACATACTGGTCATCCCAAGTCATTCTTTAATAAAACAAAAGATTGAAAAATGCACGACATTTTCATATCAACTCTGTGAGAATTTTATGTATTTATTTAAGATATTTCTATGTCATCTTTTCAGAGTTCTGCTCAAGGAAAAACAATGTAACGATATAAAACAAGCCATTAAAAGCAAGCCATTGGACAAAATCCATGTCAAAACTACCAATAAAGCAGAAGCACACTTGTAAAAAAGCTGGGAAGATAAAAACTCTAATTAAAAGCCTGGGTTAAAAATATGTTTTAGCCTAGAACCTGAAAGAAAGTAAAATAGGTGTCAGGCAAGCTTCCGCGGGAGGGAGTTTCAGAGGGAAGGCAGTACCACTGAAAGTGCCACGTCTCGTCACCAACGACCTACCCTCTGAAGGTGGGGGCACAGGGAGCAGTCCTTGAGAGGCAGATCTTAACTGACAGGCTGGGGGAGGCTATTAACAGACAAGAGTAACAATCAGATATAAATATTTTCTTGCTCCTCCCAACAATTAAACGTTTCTACTCTTGTATTAAAGGGAAAGTATTAGGTTGGGAGGGTTTACAGAGGATGGAAGCCATATATATCAAGAACAAATTCAAGAAACCATGATATATCTTCTGGATTTCCAAATAGTTATTTGACAAACATCATCAATGTTGCTCTATTAAATTGTTTCTTGCAATTTTTGTGGGTAGCTGGATTTTATAACACCTGGTTTGAATTATTTTACCAGCAATATTGCTAGCAAGTTGCCAGCTCTACGAACAAAAGAGAAAGTGGTCTTTACCTTGTCCTTCCTATCAATGCAGACTAGGAGTGTGCGCTTGGCATATACCGAACCAAATAAATACCCACAAAATACCTTATTGTTATTTTTTGCGTAATTATTCAGCAGAAACAGATTCTCTAATCTGATTCGGCTACTGATATAGCTGGCCCGAATAAAAGCAAAATAAATAAATAAATCAGTTTTTATTTGGGTTAGTTAAGTGATGGGAAGTTCACCCACTTCTGGGTGAGTGCTTCTGTGCCTACTAGTCCTTAAAACTAGTTAGTTTTACCCCCCCCCCAACTTTCCAAGCTGAGGGGAGTAAAACTGACCAGTTTAATGGCTCTCAGGCATTTCAGCCTAATAGCGGGGCAGGTGTGCCTGCCCCACTGTCAGGCTGAAATTTCTGCGAGCCATTTAATCCATTTGTTTCACTGCCCCCCGCTATAAAGCAGGGGACAGGTAAAGGAAGAGTTAAATGGCTGAAGCCATTTCAAACCTCTGTTTTCCTCTCCTCTGTTTGAGAAGGGAGGGAAGTGAAAGGGAGGTCAGAAATGGCTTGTGGCCATTCAGACTGAACAGTGCAGTGGGTCAGCCTATCAGCTGTTTGATTTAAATGGCCACAAGCCATTTCAGATCTCCTTTTCCAGGTCTGAAATGGCTTGTGGCCATTTAAATCAAACAGCTGACAGGCTAACCTGCCACGCTGTTTGAGTTAAATGGACACAAACCATTTCACACCTCCCTACCCCTTCTCCATTTCCAAACAGCTGATGGGCTGTCCCACCATGCTATTCAGTCTGAATGGCCGCAAGCCATTTCAGATCTCCCTTTCCCCCTCTCCATTTGGAAATGGAGGGGAGGGATATACAGATGTGCATTCAGTTCGGATGAACCAAAAAACAAACCAAATAATATCTGTTCGGTATTATTTGGGCATGCCGAAAGCTGAATCAGATTCCCTAATCTGATTCAGCTGGCCAAACAGGGATTCCCCAAATGGATGCCATATATTCGGCATCAATTCGGGGAATCCCTTTGCTGGGCAGGGAAGGGAACTTGCTTCAGGGGCTCATGCTGCCTCAGCAGAGTGACTCCCCAGCCATGGGAAGTCACTCCCTGCTGCAAAGGTGCACAAAGCCCCAGAAGCAAGGGAAAGTGTTTTAAATTTAAACACTTTCCCTTTCCCGCCCGCTCCTTCCAGGCCTTCCCCGGCCTTGGCGGGTGGACCAGGGAAGGGGGGGGGCTCACTCCAGGCCTTCCCTGGCTCGTCCGCTTCACCAGACAGGCAGGGGGAGACACAGGGAGGCATTTAAAATGCCTCACCACTCCTTCCAGGCCTTCCCCGGCTCATCCAGGGAAGGCACCAGGGGCTCACTCCAGGCCTTCCCAAGTCGGGGAAGGCACGGGGAGGCATATTAAATACCCCCCAAGTAGCTAGCTCGCTTGGGTGGCAGTGGGCCAGGGGGGATTTAAACTTTAAACCTCTCTGGAGTCTCTTCATTGTGATAGGAAATCCCCCCTTCAAGGGGGGGATTATTATACCCTATGGGGACAGTCCCCATAGGGTATAATTGAGCTGAATAAATTCAGCTAGTCCAATAATTCCCCATACCAATACTGGGATTTGGGAATATCGGCAAATACTGAAAATGTTCAGGTTCAGTAAATCTGAACCAAAAAAAAAACCCTAAACAAATTTGGTGCACACCCCTAGGAGGGAAAGGGAGGTTTGAAATGGCTTGCAGCCATTCAGACCAAACAACGCAGCAGGTCAGCCCCTCAGCTGCTCAGTTTAAATGACCACAAGCCATTTCAGACCTCCCTTTCCCTCCCCTCCATTTGAAAATGAAGGGGGATAAAGGGAGGTCTGAAATGGCTTGTGGTTTGGTAATGGGGGGGGGAGGTCTGAAATGGTTTGCAGCCATTCAGACCAGACAGCCTGGTGGGTCAGCCCATCAGCTGTTAAATTTAAATGGCCACAAGCCATTTCAGACCTCCCTTCCCTCCCTCCATTTCCAAACGGAGAGGGGGAAAAGGGAGGTCTGAAATGGCTCGTAACCTTTTAAACCTAACAGCTGATTGTTGGGTCCACCAGCACTCTCTTTCGCTTCCCCCTTACAAAGGAGGGGGGGAACGAAATAGAGTGGTGAAATGGCTGCTACTGCTAGCCACTATAAACCAAATAATCTGAGTTTCCCAAATACTTCCTGAATCCAAATATCATACCGATATTTCGATTTGGGAATATTGGCAAATACCGATATTTTCTGGGTTCAATAAACACGAAAAATACCAAATTATTTTTTGCACACCCCTACTGTAGACTACTGCCGATGTGTTTATGAGCGTTCCCTGTTCTCCCGGAATAAATTCTGTGGGTAGCAGCAGTAGGAGGCAATTTTGCTAACATTGCTCCACTCATAATACTATGTATCCAACTCACAGAGTTTTGAAAAGGGCTCAGCAGATAGGAAAAAACTCTTATGTGTTTTATTGGCTTTATTTATGTATATAGGTATACATACTCTGTCTGTGTGTGTGTGTGTACATACTCGGTCCCCATGCTAACAAAGTGCTCTGATTGCTAGACAGTTAGTTGGAGGGGGAGAAAGAAATGGGCAGAGTTCTTAAGCATCACTGGTCCAAAACATGGCAGTCAGGCAACTGATACGGATGGATTCAGGGACGGTAGCACCCCTGTGCTGAAAGGGGTCTGCACTGGCTAGTCATCTGTTTCAGGGCACAATTCCATGTACTGATTCTTACCCTTTAAGCTCTAAATGAGACCAAGGTATGGGAAGGACCATCTCCCTCTTGTACTTTTCAGTCTGTAGTTAAGATCCTCTCTCCAAGGTCTGCTTGCTGTGCCCCTGCCTGCAGATATGAGGTTGGTAGCTACAACAGACAAGGCTTTTTCAGTGGTGGCAGCTTGTCTTAGGATGCCCTCTCACTTGAGTGCAAGACCAAAAACATTTATTTCTACCCAGGCTTTAACTGTGCTGTTCATCTTTATAGTGCTTCTAGTCTGAGAAGTGTTTTATGAATACTCAGTTTTACCTGCAGAATAGTGTAATGATGCTTTAATGTCCTGGTTTCATGGACTGTTTTATGCTGTAGGTTTTATGATTTTATTTTATGGTTTACTTTGTGACCTGCCTCTGGAAAGGTGGCATATGAAACTAAAAATATAAATGATACCCACTTACAAATGACAAAAAAAAATTCTCATAGTATATTGCTGCTCACATGGCATTCTTGGTGTTTTAACCATAATGTTGCTGGCGACACCCTACCTCTTAGTACTGATTTCAGATTCAGCTTGGCTTGACGGTGCAGATCTTCCACGCATGGTGGTCTTGTGGAGGGTAGAAACACATTCTCCTGCTGATGCCAGGGGGCAGTGTAATGGACCGTCCATCTACTCTCTTCATCTAGATTGGAGACAGCTGTAAAACAGAAAGGCAGAGACTTTAATGTTGTGATTAAACTCAGTTGTGGCAGCGCTTCAAAAACTGTCAAAGTAACTAATCAGCTTGTGGAAATGTAAGAAAACACAGACGCTGTATCCCATTATCTGTATGTCAGCACATTTTAAAAGTGCGGGCACCAGTCCTAGATACAACACATTAGCCATCATCACTGAACAAGTCGTAGCCTTCTGCCTTCAACTGCAAAACTTGGTCACAGCTAGGCACCAGTCCCACCTGGGCTTCTATCAGTTTTGCTTCTTAGTAGCAAAACAGCACTACTATTTATTGCTCACTGGCAATGGCCTGTTTTGCCCTCACCTGGACAGGACAGGCTAGCCCCTTCTCATTAGAACTTAGAAGCTAAGCAGGGTCAGCTCTGGTTAGCATGAGAGATGGCCAACTAATACCAGGGTTGCAACACAGAGGCAGGCAATGGCAAACAACTTCTGAAAGTCTCTTGCCTTGAAAGCTATATAGGGTTGCCATAAGTGAGCTGTGACTTGATGGCAACAAAAAAGCATATTTTAAAAGGCAAAAAAAAAGGGGAGAGATTACTCATGTTATGACTTTTGGATATTGCCAATTCTAAATCTAAATGAAACAAGTTACACTCCCAGTTTTTCATAACCCCACATATATCAAGCTACAGGAATAGAATATCACTGAATGGAACTTCTAGGGGTATTTTGGCTTTCCTCAAATAGCATCATGGTTTCATAGAAGGGTCATCTGTTTTTAACTCCTTGTGACGTATTGTCTGGCAAAACCTTCATAAAAGTTTCATTACCAACTGCTGGATCTTCACACCACCATAAGATGTATACACATCCACACTGGATGGCCTACAGAAGGGTGGACTGGCTGTTTAACTTACAGGGGATGTTCCCTGTGGGCCAATGCCCTGCATGGATACTAGCAGCCAGGAAGAAGCAGAGCCTAGCCCCAGTAGCTTTGCAAGCACTGCAGGGTCTGCTTAGCTTGGACCATTTGGCACAACTGCTGGTTGGCAACAGAGCAGGTGGAGACAATGGGTGACTTTCCAC